AATAAATAAATAAAATTTGAACCATCCAGCAAGGCAGATGCCTCATGTCCCTAATAGTCCTTTAGAAAACCCCTTTCCTTTACCACATTCTTGTCACATTGGGAATTAAGCCTGAACCCTGAATTCTGATGGGAACAAACCACACTTAAACCACCTTAAGAAGTCTTTATTTTCCATTTTGGAGCCTCAACTTGCCTAGAATTTTCTGATAGTTTCTGTAAACATATAAGTAAATATATGTATACATACAGATGTTATTACTCAAGTTAATACTAATAATCCAGTATGCCTCCATGAAAATTGGAAATATCATAAAATGCCCTATAGTAGCTCCAGAAAAATAAAAACATTTGAGACCATTAGAAAATTTTTGTTTGCAAATTTTTATTTTTACTTCAGATATGAGAATCACAATAGAGATAAAATTTTCTACAAGTAATGAAGTCTTTTTAGTGTACTAAGACTTTCTAGAGAAAAATAAACATGGCAGATATATGTGTGTATTGGAAGAATCTATGCACCAAAAATAGCTGTAATTTATTTACATGAAAAAAGGATTAGGCAACGTGGCTAAATTTTATCAGCTTTGCATTCAACACATTGTTTGGTATATGTCTACTTAGTAAGTATTTGTCATCCAAAAGAAAAATTGTGAACCTAACCTTATCATTTTCAAAACCAAAAATCAAACTGCTTATTCTTTTTGGTATGTAGAACATCATTTTCATCAATATGGACTAGAAAATTGTATTCTAGAAACTTACTTCAAATCTTAAGAAGCAGCTTTCCAAGATAGTACAAAATTAGCATAAAATGTTTACCTAAACGAAATTAAAGTATTTTTTGTTTTGTACTGGGAATCAAACTCAGGACTTTATGCTTACCAGGCAGGCACTGTGTCCTGTCCTCCCCGTCCTTTTTAAAAAGTATTTTCTATTTTCTCTCAGAAATTTTGTTTGCTTCCTAAATTCAAAATTCTAGTAGTTTGCATATGTATGTCAGGCTTATCACCAAGAGAACAGGTTGTTACAATCTAAATGTAGTAATGCTGCACTCTGAATTTATAATAAAAGATGACATTGTAAATGCCCTGAGCCAATTTAGATCAATGTTATTACCAGAAGGCAATTGTTGCTTTTTCATCTTTATTTTATTTCTTCTTCGGGTGTCTGAATTTCTCTTTAAACTTACCTTACTCTCCCCTTTGGCCTGATATTCCTAAAAATAAGTAAAATAAGGAGGAAAAAAAACCAGTTGAGGACTGCAGTTACCTAGGGCCTTTGTTAGTGTAAAACCAAAGCAGAAGAGACAAATGCTACCAATTCACTATAGGAAGGAAATACATAGAGCTCTCAACACAAGCCTGCCAAAATCCTGGTTATTTGATTGTAAAATACAGAATTATGGACATAGAACACTAACTTTCGCAACAGTGTTTCATCTAATGAAGGAGAAATAAATAGAAAACTGTATTACACGTGGAAAAGTGCCTATGAGAAGACAATTGGCCCACCTGTCACGCACAGCCTTGTGACAAGTTGGCTGCAGGAATGCCATGAAGGGTGACACACCTCTCCAGCCTTCCACTCAGCAGCAAATTATCTATCTTGTGCTTTCACAGGGCGATGTGCCACTACCTGTGGAGAGAAAGAGCATCACTCACTGTCTTTTCTCTCAAGGAATTTATGATTTAATATACACAACAACTTAACTAGTCACAGTCCCTGTGACAGCCTTCCTGTCACACTCCACGTTCTACAGCTGTGTGACACTCCCACAGCCCTCCAGCACCAAGAAGTTCAAGAGATGTGAGGAAAAGCAGTTGCCATCTTAAAAGAAAAAAAGTGACAAGGCATTCTTTGGGGGTTTAAATTCATTTATTTGAAAACATTCTTTGCATTAATAATATCACTGTGTAGTTTTTTAAAAATATGATCATAAGAAATTCATACTCGTGAGTAAAATAGAAATTTATTAACAGTGATTCAATTTAAAAATATATATTGCATATCTAAACCATAATTTCCCCTTTGCTTAATCAGAAATGGTTTAGTCTAAATATAAACAATACAAAGTATTTTATGCCAGTTTGTAAGTATACAAGTAATGGGCTGACTTCTTCAAAGAATTGCATAGTAAATAATTCCTAGGGATACGTTATTTACTAATTATGCTTACAAAATTATTTTTATGTCTATCCACATCACACACATAATGATAGAAATATATATATATATATATATATATATATATGAAAATGAATTACTTTGAGGCTATTGTAGTACTATGATGATTTGACGTTATGGACACCGACAAAATTTCCAAGGGCAACCAAGAGCACACAAGAACCAACTCACACAGAAATTAGCATAAAGGATCAGTACAGAAAACACACATCCATAAGCAAGAGGAAATAAAAGGTAAAAACCACTAGGGAAAACTCAGAGAGGGCTTTTCCAATAATAAAGTCTTTGCTCTATCAAGTTATGCCACTAGTTGACTGCTAAGAATGGTTGGTAGTGAAGATTCTGTTTCAAAATGGCAATTTAATCTTACTCTATAAAGCAAGATCCCTGGAGCAAAGAGCTAAAGGGACAAGGAGGCTAGAGGAAAGGGGAAGGAAGGAAGACAGAAGAATACCTTCAACAGGGAAAGACACAAGCCAAGGCAATTTTTAAACTAATTGTGCCTTCAACTGTCCTTTTTAGGAGAAACACGAAAAAGAGTCTCCTTTCTTTCATTTTCTTCCTCTTTGCAGCCCTGGATCCTCCTTTCAGCCACCTCATTCAAGAAATGCAATATGTGCTAATGAAATTGAGCTATGTATGTGTTTAAAAGGCTTTGGCAAGGCTGGCCTGGAGACCAAAAAACTTACAGCTCTGGTTAATGAGGAGACTGAGGAAGGAGGGTTGCTTAAGCCCAGAAGTTACAGACTAGCCTGGGCAACATGATGGGTCTCAAAGCAAACAAAAAGACTTTTAGTGTATCAATTAAAAGAAAAAAGATTATTCTAAACAAAGGATGACAATTTCACCTTGATGACTTTCCAGATCACTTACCTGGGCCAGATATTGTTAAATATTGCTTTACAAAGATGAGTTATAGCTTTCGCTCTTAAGGTGTCCACAGTAAACCAAACACCCACAGATGTAATCTGTAACAATTGCTTCATACATAGAGGTGGAGGAGCACCGTATGTGGAATGAGAGGGGCTTAAATATTAAAACCTGGATTAACTCCATTAATCTTAACATCCCAGTGAACCACTCATTTTCAGAAAGAGCTTTTAGTATAGTGTTACATCATGCTTATGCTAGATGTTAAACCAAAATCCAATTTAGTAATCTAGGAACATGGCAATCACCTACTACTGTTTAAATAGGATAACAAGCCCAAACCATAGTAATGTCTCATGACACTGACAAAAAAATTCAAACTGTATTCAGAAAAATATAGTAAAAAATGAAAAACTTACATTTTAGAGATAGTTTTGTTCAAAAGCAACACAGTTTTTAGTATCACTTTTAATCAGAAAACTCAATTAATCAGGAATTACATTCCCTAAGTCTTCTGTCACATTTTTAATTGCACATTCTGTGAAATTACACAAATCCTGGTTCAGCTAATGCCTAGCTAGCTGTGTAACTAAGTTTTGTGTGTCTTGGTTTCCTCATTCATAAAGTGTGATAGTTATAAAGATGTTAAATCTTTTAACAGTACCTGTTACATAGTAAGTGTCCAGCAAATGTTAGCTATTATTATTGTCATCATTATTAAGGCATTACCTAGCTGTGTAGCAGGATTGATGGAATTAATCTCCAGGTAACTCAATAATGCATGTTTTTTTTTTCAACCAAACACAGTCCACATTTTCCATGAGGCACTGGATGATATAGAAAGACAAAACCACCAGCAGCCTTAAAAATATCCAGAGAAACTCAACCTATCACCAGTGAAATGAAACAAAGGTCAATCAACCAAGATAACTGTCACAGCAAAAGATCCTAGGAGTTACTGCTCCACCCCACCCAACTTAAGCTTTCATCTTACTATCTGGGAATGAAAGCTGGAAGAATTATATTACTCAAAATACCAGTGTTTGCTGATAGCTAACTTCTTTAAGACTCCTTACACAATAATGAGTACTGAAGGGATCAAAGATGGGAAAAGAAAAGAAAAAGACTTTATATGAAGGGAAGCTTCTCTCTTCAGAGAAGCCTTAGTTATCCCTAATCTCTCATTTGTTTGTTGGTAATAATTTGTAGAGTAATTATAATCACTTCATCTTATACTTTAAGTGTATTAATATGAGACTTTAGGTGAGCATTGCTTCTAGTGATATTATTTAGGTTAAATGCTGCAATTCAGAAAGAAAGTATTAGCATGGCTTATGCTGTACTTAAATTCAAGAATTTACAAATTTGTCTTATGAAGACATTCCTTTGCATGAGGTGAACCTTGGTCTGTGACACTAGAATCACTCTCCTCTTTCATTTAAGTCCTGAATCAAAATAGTTATGGAGTCAATATATTGATGGATGCTTTGCACATAGTAGAACATAAAGTAATATCCCACAAACTGAGTTGTAATGCATGCAAGAAATGAGGTCAGTCATGTTTAGCTTTCATAATAAGTTTCCATCATCCTGAAGCCACTTGTGTTTTTTTTTTTTTTAAAGAGAAAAAGAAACTTGTGAAACTACCACATTTACATGGGGAACATTATAAATTCAAGTAACCCAACTCAGGCCAATAGTTTTGGATTCACAGTAATTGCATACATTTTATTTAACAATATCCCTAGCAGTATGTGCCTGTTACCTAAAGCGATGGAGCAGGTCCCAGTTTTATGTCTGACTCTAAACCTGGGCCTATAGTACAAGACATAGCACCTACTGTGGCCTCTGCTCTGTCACTTTGCCATGCGATTCTAATGTAGTTTTACTTGAATAACATAAAATAACATATATAATGTTATTTATGTTATTTTCCACGTGAAGAACTCCTGTAAACCTTGCCGTTTTGAAACTCAGTGAGGCAGGCGTCTTAGACAAGCTGAAAAACAAATGGTGGTACGATAAAGGTGAATGTGGACCCAAGGACTCGGGAAGCAAGGTCAGTCGCTGCAGTTCGGGGCCTCCTCTTGTGTTCACAAAATAGTAAATGGGAGCAACTGTCAAATATGGAAACCTTAACAACCCATCATTTTTCTGTACACACAGCCACTGTCTCAATTAGCAGCTAATAGATTTCATAATAGATTAGCCATAGATTTCAAGCACGGGGACTAATTTCAGGAAATTACTGTACAACCTGCTCCCTGATATTAAATCTTTCAAATAAACTTAAATTAACAGCAAAAATATATAAAATAACAAAATTATGTATATTATCTCAAATTTACGTACCACTAATAAAATTTTGTTGTTGTTGTTTTAGAGATAAAGACAATGAAATTTATTTCTTTGAGAACTAATGTATCCTCAAAACAAGAAATGGGTAATTGGTTAGGAGTCATCTAGAAAATAAAAACCGCTAAATCTTAAATAAATGTTTATTCAGTTTAGCCTTTTGTTGCTTTATCACCAAGCATTCCACTCTAGTTTAAAGATGCTCTGTTACATTTCTGTGCTGAAAGATGAACAGAATGAGCTTTCCGATTGAATTCTCCAAACCCACACTAGATTAATGTCAGTGTTTACAATAATATCAAGTTCTAAAATATTTATTAATGAATTCATTTTAGAACCATGCAGAAACCTATAGGCCTAATTCTGCCAAATAAGTTTATGTTTTATTCTAAAGAAAAAATATAACAAGTTTGTCATTGACTCAAAATATCTACACATAATAATATCGTTAACAGTGGCTGAAAGTCATAAATTCTTGGAATCCACTTTTTTTTGTATTTTCTTCTAGAAAGAAAACAACTTACTAGTTATATTTAAACATTAAAAAGTGACTTAAATAAAAGAGCCTCAATAAATTGGAGAAGGAGATAAAGCCCAGCTAATTAATCCATTTTCAAGCCTTATCCCTATGTGTTTAATCACTTGTGACTGCCTTTGAACCAGAGTGGAATGACATGATCGTGGCCAGATTATGAAACAAGTATCTTAAATCCTGATGGAAAGACAAGCATAAATATTTAATGAGTAACTATTTTACGAATTAAATTATTGTAAAACTTTTGGCCCACTCAGTTGATCGTACGGCCGAGTAGACAGCAGTCATCTTTTGAATTAGACATTCTCCTAATAAAACTAAGTACTTTTATTAAGTAAACTTCTCAACCATATTTTGCACAAATTTATACTGATGAGAAAATGACAGCTATAAAGAATCCTCCACCAAAATACTTGTTGAAATAATATTATGTAATAATTATTGTTTATAATTTGTGAAAAAATCCAAATTCTTTTTACAATTTTAATATCTTGCTAGAATATGCTTGACCACCTCTAGATTTATGTATGTGTGGTAAACATGAATACATCTAAAATATTAATTGGTGAAGCACTTTTAAGTGTGAATGGAGTTATACCTTTACATTAATAAATAAGTTATAAATTTGTCCATATATAATTTATTTCTCAATTGAATATGGCTATTTGCGTATTTTTAAAAGTTAGCTTTAAAAAGTTACCTAGGTTTTATGCACATACAACTATTTCTAAATAGTACATAATATGCAAAAGTGACATTTTTTATGAGATTCTGCATATAGACATAACTGAAAAAACCTAAGGACATGGACCATAGGACATTCTTGGTACATATATGATAAAGCAATTATGAACAAAATGTGAAACTACCAGCTGGAAAACTTCTGTTCCCTAAGTAGTAAATGTAAACTTAAATTTATTCAAGAGCCATCTTATACATTAATATTATGTTTTGAAGGAAGTAAAATCAAAAGAGGTCCCTTTTCCCATGTAATTGAAATTTCAACAGGTCATTTTCAAATTCTGTAATAACTCACTTCTGGCACCCCATATAAATATACAAATGCTCATCTCTGTCTAAGTATAGTGCTTTTCACTACATATTTAATGATAAGTTGTTGCAGATTTTATTGAATGTAGTTGCACACAATTTATTGGTAATCATAATTGCTCTTCTGAGAGCTATAAGCTTTACTCTTAAACCCATAAACCTACATCAGTGACTTATATTAAATAATTTCTGGTTAAATTAAGTGTTGACTTTAATTGACTGCTTGAATTTCATGTGTTCTTGTGACATGTTCCCAGTTAACTGAAGTATCTTTATCCCTCCTAGGACAAGACGAGTGCCTTGAGCCTGAGCAACGTAGCCGGCGTCTTCTACATTCTAGTTGGCGGCTTGGGCTTGGCAATGCTGGTGGCTTTGATAGAGTTCTGTTACAAGTCCAGGGCAGAAGCGAAGAGAATGAAGGTGGCAAAGAGTGCACAGACTTTTAACCCAACTTCCTCGCAGAATACCCACAATTTAGCAACCTATAGAGAAGGTTACAACGTATATGGAACCGAAAGTATTAAGATTTAGGGGTAGGACTTAGGGCCTGCTACAGTGAGTGGGGATGCATCCTGTGAACGCAGTGTCGTGACCTGTCTGTCCAGTGGTGGTATTGCTTGCTTCTAATTAGAGCTTTCTATTTTTCAAAACTTCGGTGCAAAGCAATTCAGTTTTCTTTGGCTGCAGATGTACCGTTTGAAACTTTATGTTGCCAATAGATATCTGCATTGCATGGGTCAGAAAGACAAAAACGTGCCAGAATTGCTCTGTAAAATGATGTAAACAGTAAAATTCCCCTGAAATTGGGGACATTGGAAATTAGATCTGGGCTTCCTCACATACAAACCAGGCAAATCTCCTTTCTAACAATCCATATTTAGATTTAGTGCTAATAAAATAATGACAAAATCTTTTTCAAATGATTAAAACATACATAATTGCCTATGTTTTTTAAGGCACATGGTATGTATGTATTCCATGAATTCCTTACCTGCAGTTCTAATCGGCTTTATACTAGCCACCTTTATTTTTAAAGCACAAATCCCCATTGTTGGTTTGTAACAGTAGTCCTTGAGCCGACCCTGCAGAGAAGAATAATTGTCAGAACTTTGACTATGATACCCAATTACATTCACAGTATCACTTAGGCAAACGTGTATTTTAGACAAGTCATCCATCAAAATCTCAGAAATATATGCAATCCATAGCAGCAATAGTGATGAAAATTGTACTGAGTGAGTATGCAGCTTTTTCATTTCAATGGCCTTAAAACAAGGCAAACCAGATCCACTTACATTCTCTCATTATGTCATTGCAAAGAGTTGTATGCTGTCAGTGAGAAACAGGAGATAGAGTCCACTTTTTTAAGAATCGAAATGTTCATTTCTTTCCTCTAATAATAGAAAGTAATTTTAAAATGAGACCTGATTGGACATGCTATTGCTTTTTCTAAACTCAGAGCTCCAAAAACCATTTGCTAAAATTATATAACAACAGCAAGTGAATAGACTGCTTAGCCTTATTACATGATAAATGAATCTTTGAAACTTCAAAAGACATTCAGTGTTTAATGTTTTTTAAAGTAAAAAACCAAATATAATTTTAGTAAGGTGTACACCTGAGGTTATACCAGATAAATGTGCTTGATTTTGATAGTTATTTAGATGTACATTATTGCGATACTTAATATCTTAAACCAAAAATGAAGTCATCCATGTTGATCCACATCTAACTGCTTTTACCATTATCTAGACGTCAGTGACAGTGCTGTACAACTGCATGTAGATCATCTCCAAGTGCTCCTTTCCCAATTTGAATTTTTATAAAATGAGCACTAAGAACGAAGTCCTCAGTTCACCAAGGTCAAAGCATATTGAGCAAGACAACAAACTGAGAAGGAATCAGGGCATCTCATCATTAGGAGATGTTTCATTGCCCATTCCATGTCCTACCCTACACTGGCGACTGAACTCAGAGGTGCTCTACTTCTAAGATTCATCCCCAGCCCTGTTAACTGTATTTTGCTGGGATTTTTTAAAATAGGAATTTAAGTTGCCCCTGAAGGTCTCAAACTCTCAAACTTGAGATCTTGTTTGCCTCAGTCTTCAGAGTAGCTGGGATTACAGACGTGCAATACTTTGCCAACCTAAAAATGTTTTCATTTTAGTGTTTACAGAGTTAAGCAGCAATTTTACCCAAATTGGGAAAAATAATACTTGACTAGTTTTCAAAGCCAGTTATTTGGACTGAATTCTGAGAAAAGATTTTATAAGGCTAAAAATGTTTTTGTTACTAATTTTTCTTTCCAAACCAAACTTTAGCAAAGTCCAAGAATGAAGAAATAAAAGAATAAAAATATATAAGGAATTGGAGAAAGAAATCTTCAAGAATGTCAATTTATTATAAAGTTCTAGGAAATTGTTAAAAAGACTTCTGCTTATTTAACTTACACGTATGTTTTGAAGTCAGAATGTGGTATTGAAGTTCATCATGTTTCCCTTTAAAACTAAACTTGAACTTTTAAGTATATACTTTTAAAAAGAAAACATTTGTATCCATTTTTAAAAGACACTGACATTCAGAATAAGTGACCTGCTCTGCCTCATAGAGCAGACTTGAAAGTTATGCAATTTTTACCTTCCTATCAAATTAAGTGGGCTTTTCCTTTCAAAAACTTCATTGACCATATTTTTTAACGACTCAAAATCATCCATCTAAAAACTGTCTAATCATATAAAGCACATAACATTGAAAAACAAGATTACAGGAGAAAGTTATTCAGCAACTTTGAAGCCAATTTCTGCACTATCTTCCTTAAATATAACATTTTTAACTAAAATTTCATGTTATACGTAGTAGTTTAAATGCCTTTCTTTATATGAATTTCCAAAACTGTACATACTGTAATATTGAGTAGAAAAATATTCATCTCTAATAAATTAGGTGCCAAGAGTTTCACTTCAAAGAGCAAGATTACTAATGTCACCTCCATTTCCCAGTCCCCTATTCACTAAAAAGAGAACTTGACATTCACCTTGGTTTTTTATCAACGCGAAGTCACGATTAGCAATTTTAGTTCAATTTTTCTAAGTTATTACAGTAAATGATTTCTAAACATTTGTACTCCAACAGTTTTTATACTAATTAATTTCATAATTGTAATATATATTTTTAACATTTGAGTACCAGATCAGAATAAACAGATACAATTTTCTACAGGATTAAACTTAAATTCACAATGGAGAATCATATGCATTGTTAGTGGTGAAACAGGCGCCCCTTTAGCTTATTTTTCTGTTAACTTGAGAATTCAGCTACTTGAAAGAATTTAAAGGCAATGAATGAACAAGAATTAGATTTATATAATAGCACTGCCTGCTTTTCCTTTGTGTATTATCATTTGCTATCTTAAAAGTTAAAGAATAAGAATTTAATGGACAGTTCAGAGATTTAACCCTAGAGCTTCCATCTGGGAAGTTTCTCAGTATTAATCATTCACTAAGTCTTAAAACAGTCCCCTTTTACATGTGTCTCCTTTTTAGTGTATCCTATTCCAGCATAATTCTTAAAATATGATCCTTTACTCCCATAAGAGGCACAAAGTGAACTACATGTCACTAGTTGTACTGTTCTGAGTCATGTCTATAACCAGTGTGAATAAATCAAGGTGTTTGTGGATTGGTCTGTATTATGAAAACATTCATAATTGATACATATAGTTTGTATATGCAGCTTCTCAATCTTAAGAGTCTAACCTTTGCACTCTAAAGTATATAATATCTATAAGAAAAATAATTATTCAAAGAATGTTATCAACATTAAGAAACTTTTAGGCTCCTGTAGAACTACTCGTGGATAGAGCAGCAGGTTAAAAGATGTTTCCTGCCCAGATTGACTAAACAAAACCTGACTTATGAATTGAAACTATTTTTAAATAGGTAGGACCACAGACACTAGACTGTTTAAGTCTTCAGTGTAGGTGAGCTTTCCACACTTTCATAAGCAGTTTACATCTGACCAAAAGACTATGGAAAAAATGCAGATGTCTAATTATTGATATTTTGGTGTTTGCTGTGTCACGTTTTGGTGAACAAACAAATATTATAACACACCGCCTTCTTTCTGTTTCCTTTCCATGCAACCCAGCTGACCTTTTCTGAAGCCATAAGAAACAAAGCCAGGTTATCCATCACTGGGAGTGTAGGAGAAAACGGCCGCGTCTTGACGCCCGACTGCCCAAAGGCTGTACACACTGGAACTGCAGTTAGACAGAGCTCGGGATTGGCTGTCATTGCGTCGGACCTACCATAAAAACCAAAAAAATAATTGAGTGCCTTAACTAAACTGTGTTGGTGACTGATGGAAATGCAGCCCTGAGGGACACACCAAGTGCGGGTCTTTGCTAAACCAGTTCTTTGGCTGAGAGCGAGAAGTGAATGCTAATGCTCTGGACATCAGCCGCAGAAACGTGTGCATGAGCTCAGCTCGGATACCCAAACTCAGATTTTATATCAGGAAAACTCACAATTTAGGTTTTTTGGGAAATGGGTAGGGGAGCTGGGATGGGTGTATTAACAGCAACAAATTTCACTTGAGTGAACTTAAAAACTAATCAGACTTGCCAGTTAGCTCATTAAACTGTGAAGTTCTTGCTCAGCAAGGCCTTCGTCTTCACCAAAAGGGATAAAATAGTTGTAGAAGTCAATGAACATGCTAACCTCTGTCTCCAGAACACCCATATAGCCAATGGAAGAATATCCAGCTGAGAAAATAAATCACTAAACTGTGATAAGAAAATAATAAACATGTAAATCCTGTGAAAAAAAAATTTAAAGGAAGTATTTACACTTACTTTGGAGAAAACAAATACTGAAACATGCTTGCTTTTTAACTGACATAAATTCAGTAGAGGACAACACAATTCTTTTTTCTAACCATCTTAGGGAACAATACATTGCAATAATTGATATAAATGCCATCACTGTAATAAACTTTAGAGACTTTTTTCTACAAAAGTTGTTGGTCGTCTTCTCGTTTGCTGTAAACTTCACTCTGTCACATGAGTTGGTTCACAGATTGCATTTGTCTCACACCAGAAACAAAATCAAAATGAAGAAAGTGTTGACGTTAAATCATCACTCTGCGATGTGGAATCAGAAGAGACTACGGGTCATTCATATTATCAATATTATTTATAATCTTGTTCTGTGTACAAAATTGTGGTTTTTGTACCCACTGAAAAGAATAAAACAACAGATGTTCTTACAATATCTACAGAGCTTAAAGGTTTTTTTTTTTCTTACAATTAAAGTTATTTGAGAAACTGTGAGAGTATACAAGGGATTATAGAAGTCAAGTGGTGGACCTTTCTGGAAAATGTAGCTAGTCCTTATTATTTTTGCATACTAAGCTACTCCTGTTTTATAGATTTTTCACTTGTTAGGAGGTTAAATTGTGGAAGATGGAGTTTTTGAGTACTGGAATGAATCACTGTCTGGATAGTAACATGCCCTGTCACTGTGTGTTGAAATTTCACTTGACTGTATTTTGCTGCATAAAGTCATGTGTCCAACGAGCTTCTCCCCTCATTCTCATTGTCCCAATTAAATCCTCTGAAGGCACTAAGAATAGTTTGGAGTAGACCACAGATGAAGGATTAGCTCTTATGTGAAGAAAAATTTATTTTGTTTTATTTATATAAAAATTATATTGTTATGTTGGATTAAATTAACATGGTTGCAAAGAAGGTTTTAGTTCATTAGATGTAAATAAGTACTCTACTATAAATAAAAATCACATCCTTAGGAATCTTGGCAGAAAGCACAAGTTAGGATGATTCCAAAAGACTGACCTTGTGGGATGAGTTTTCATAGGAGAAAGGTTAAGAGGCCAATATCTGAGCAACGCGTATTCAGTCCCCTGAGCATTCACAGCTTGTTTGAAGAATGTACACATTAACCTGGCTGATGAGAGTACAGGTGTAGGATCATGGAAGACAAGCAGGAAAAGGTGAACAATTAATTTCCTCTCCTTAACCCATCTCTCATTTCATCTCTGTGCTGCAGTAGAACATTCTTAAAAATTTATGTCAGATAATATACACACACGCACTGTTCCCTCAGGAAAAATTCCAGGTTCTCGAGAAGAGCAAATGATTCTCTTCCTGGCAATGTCCCTGTTTATTCCTTTATGAATTTCTCTTACTCCTACCCAACTCCTCCTATCAGCAAACAAACCTCCAAAGCAGCACTTGGGACACCGCATATTATTTCCTCAGCCTGTAACAATTCTTTGTCTTCTCTTTACCTAACTAACTTATACTCACCCTTCAGTATTCGAACTTTACTAGCCCTGGGAGGATTTATAAGTACACGCTACCCCTTGCCTAAGAGACTGAGTTAGGTGCCATTCTTTAATGTTCTTCCCCATCACGGCACTCACCATTCTGCATTGTAATTGCCTGTGTACTTGTCTGTAAAACTACTAGACTGTAAGCTCCTTGAGGGCAGGGACTGTGTCTATCTTGTTCACAGTTGTATCCCCCAGCACCCAGCACAGTGCCTGGCATATTGTAGGTGCTTAATAAATATTTGTTGATGAAAAAAATGAACTGAATTGAATTAATTTAATTAAGTGAAAGCAGAAAAACATCATCTTTCCCCATTGATAGTGTCTAAAATGTGTGCTAAGTATAAATTGAATCAAAATGAAATCTCAAGGTTGGCTGATTTCATGGCATTTTTTCTAAAGTAGATAAAAGGAAAGCAAAAAAATCATTTGGTAAATCTCATCATATAAGAAGGCTCTGTATATCATTGTACCTAGCTGTAGTATAATTTGACAATTTGTTTAACGAGAGACATTGTCACAAAAAAGGTAACTCAGAAAATGAATTTGGTTACATTTTTAGCTATACTTCTAAAGACAACTTTCCTTTAACCCTTGGACTTGTGTCATACTTAAATTTCTTATAGTAAGGAATAATTTTAAGAAAGGCAAAAATTTAAACATGCATCAGTGAAAAGAGACACTTCCCTACATGCTATTTGATGAAATCCTATATATTAAAAACATTTAAAACATTTGATTTCACAAAGTTGAAGAACTCAGTTACCAAAAAAGAAAGCGCCTAAACATATCAGATAAATCCAACTTTGAAACTACATCAGTTAAACATATACAATGACCAGTTAAAAGATCTAAAGTGTCCTCAGTTTTTAGTTGAAGATCTAAAAAGAAACATTTGCTACACTCAATTCAATAGCAGCTTGTTGAAAATCAGTCTTGCCTTGACTGCATGTATTTCAGTCTGACACATATTGGTCAGCTTTCTCTACCTATAAACTATCAGTTATTCTATTTCCCTAAGGCATAGTGCATAGCAGGCGTTCAGTATTTATTTGTCAGTACATAAACATGTATTTGTGAAAAAATATTCAAATAACTTTCAGAAAAGTAAATATCCCAATCTGCAACACTGATGCAGTGTAACAGGAATAAGAACAAAATGAAAAGTGATATCCTGGAGAATTAAGTTGAAAGACAAATTGAACTATAGATGCATCACCCTTACATTTATTAGTATGATATCTCATGAAAAATACATCTTTTCATACACATTCACAAGGAGTTTTAGTGTCAGGCAATATCGCAGGCTAGAATCTTAGTATTTGTAAAACCAAAGGCAAATATAACAGGTGGCTTATTTATATATCTTCTAAGCAGCCAATGCCAGCAGTCTTTTCAAAACAGACCCACCTTTAAGAGAACACTTTGATCAATTACTAGAAACAAGATATGAGGACAAGAAATTGTATCTCAGAAGACAACAGAAAACTATTTTCCATGAAAAAGAAAACCTGTTCACTTATTTTCTTTTGTTTTATTTTCCTTCACATGGCGGTGAAGAAATAAGAAGAAAAAAAGAAGAAAAGAGAGAAAAGAGCTATTACAAAAGCAAAAGGCTGGGCAAAAAGCCAAGAAGTATGAAACAGAGATGCTTGACATACGGTTTCTACATTGCTAGGTGTGTAATGTTCCGTGTTTCCTCATCTCATAATATGCATACTTTAAGTGTTCCTACAGGGCTCACATTGGTGTCATAGTTATCTAGAAGGCAGGAATCCAGTAGGAAATTCTAAACCCCATGTCTGGGGGGATGCCAAGGAGCTCCCTATATAGGACCAGGCCCCATCCAACTCCTTTTAGAGCTGGTTCTTGACATAAATAGAAATAGTTCCAATATTTTTATAAAAGAAGGAATTTGAAACAATTTAGTTCATAGCTGGCTCCATCTAGATGTTTATTTAATCCTTTGATCAACAAACTGGCACTACTTCAAAGTTCTAAAACAGAGTTCATGAATCTCACCTGCTTGAGGTTTTTTCAGAGCAAGATTTTCTATCAATATCGTCTTTAAACCTAAACACTCAAAGTTTCCCAACATCATTAAATTTCCAAGGCCACTATCAAAGTAGGTGACTTCAGGGTTACTGAGATACAATGTGCACAGGAACTATAAATTAAATTCTACCTGAAAGACTAAAGTTCAGGGAGTGTATCAATATCCTTGTCATTCTTGTTTGCAACCCTACAAAAATATTATCCCAATAATTCTTCTCTGTCTTGTCTACATTTGTCTCCCAAGACTCTTGTGCCCTTCTCTTTCTTTTCCATATTCATTTCCCACTGTTAGCCTCTCCCCTTGACAAGGTCATTATTCTCTCGTTCTTAATATAAAATAAGGAATCTTCACATTCCCAACCTCCCCCAGAATGCTATACATCTTCTGATAACATCGCTCTACATGCTACAAACCTAGAAAAAAAAAGGATGGCAATTCTGAAAATTTTCATCTTTGCAATCACACATCACAATCCCTCTACTCTATTACCTCCCTTGGTTATCTGGGCATCCCAACACATTATCATTAGGGAATGGACAGCGAAGATGTTTATTTAATCCCTTTGCTTGTAATTCCTTGATTCTCCACTGATCTTTGCCTTTGCGTTCTTTAAATCACTCATGCCAAGAGACATGTAACCATTTGATTGATTATATTCTCATCTTCCTTCAGTTAGTCATCCACTTCTCTCCTTGTTTTCTCACCTTGGTTAACTAAAGTAGTGACCATGAATCCATTACCAACCCCATTATTTCACTTGATCATGTCACCAAAATGTTCTTCTCAGGGTCACCAGTAATCATCTTGTAGTTACCTCCCATTATCTCTTCATGCATTTGCATGAATTATTATTTTTCTTCTGTTGAGAATGTCTCAGTGTGTTCTACGTTCCCCATTTGTATTAAATTTCTGCCAAGCTAGATTTGCATCTTTTGTCCCCCCCCCTCCTCACAATACGTTTTGCATCTGGTTGGTCTTACTATTACCAAGATGTCTGCAGTCACTTTTACATTATTTACAAAGAAATTTCTGTCTCACTGTAGTGCCATATATTCAATTATCTGATGATCTTCCTTTTGACTTCTCAACTGCCAAATGTCAAACTCTCTTCTCTATCCTATGTGTCTCCTTCCTTTTGTATATCAGTTTCAGTGACATTTCTTTCCATATATCAATTCTAGAATTATTCTAGAATCTTTTTTCATCGTCTTGATATCTAATCAACATCTTTAGCTCGTACTACCTCCTAAATATTTCTGTGTTCTACTCATGCTTTTCCCTCATACCACAACTGACTTAATGCGGGGACTCAATTTCTCACTGTTATTACTAAAGTTGTCCCCAGCTAGGTCTCCTGGCTTATTTAGTTCATTCTTTACATGGAAGCCACAATGACTTTCTCAAATTCAAATATGATTTGGTCACTTCTTAAATAAGAGAATTCGAGGTGCACCATGTGAGACAGTGACCTTCTCCAGTATCTTTTCTCACCTACTTTCCCCAACAGTAACATCACATTATTCACAAATTGGGTTTGCTTCATTTTCTTTCCCTTAAAATTTTTGCCAGTTATTTCTTCTATTTGGGTTGCCCAGTGCTTCAGATAGGATTCCTACCTGTAATCAACAAAGCCCCGCCTATGCAGTTAAGCGGAAAGTGAGTTAATTAATGAAAATTAGATAGGTGACAGAATAGATACCAGTTTCTCAGAAAAAAAAATTTTTTTAAATAAGGTCTGAAGACAAATAGCAAAGATGCTCGGAATAATCGCAGTTGCTGATCTAGCGCAGTGTACGTTTACCTACTAGTAAAGGTACATACCTCAGTGTCCTTGTTCCAGATACTGCCACAAGGACACTGAACATAGACACCACTCCCAGGACCTTGGTTTCTTGAGGCTGTGTGAGCAGGTACCTAGTAACATGCTTGCTCACCTCCTCAGGAAAAGGTTTCTATAAGTTGCTGCTTTCCAAATTAAAATTCAGGAGGAGAGTACCTAACAGGGCTCTGACCTAGCAATAACAAAGGCAGGGAAAACAAGTTCTGGTTTTCATTATGAGGCATAATATGGGGAAAGAATAAGGAAGATATTTTTTAAAAAGCTAAATATGTAAAAACCCTTTATGCCTAATTTGGCATCAGGAAGTATTCTAGATATTATATCCTCAAGTAGACATTCTGAAATGGGCTCAATTTGAAAACATTTTGCATTACTCTATATTCTGTGCTCACTTTTAAAACAGCACTTATACTGCTGTTACATGATTATTTTTATAAAGTTCTCTGCTTTATATCAGTCAGCTCTTTATTTCCAGAGGCAAGAAATGAGTTGTGGAAAGAACCAATTTTGAGCTTTAGAGTCAGACAAAATTAAGTGTGAATTCTTGTGCTGGCACTTACTCTCTGGCCTCTAGAGAAAGCTGCCGTTTCATATGTAAATGGGAATAATCCTAAGAATTTTATGTTGCTCTGAAGTTGAGAATGAATTTTTATAAATTACTTATCACAGCATCTTGTCATGGGAAGTTCAATAAACAAAACTTTATTTCATCTCCATAGCCCTGGGCTTCTGCTTCCAAGTAAGAAAAAAAAAAAGCTTTAAAGAGGAAAAGAAAAAGCTACTTTCATTCTAACCATGAGGAAAAAAAAAAATCAAAGAATCTATAAAATAATAACTTTTCTTGTTCAAATCAGAAAACTTCCCATGACAACCAGGCAATCTGAATTCCAAAGTACAAGCCCCTTCGAGGAGAAAGGGAGTGCACAAAGTTTCACATTTGTGCAGCAGGGAAGGCATGGTACTGTACTGACAGTGACACAGTGGGTAAGAAGAAATCAGGAGGCTGAGCAGGGTGGTGCATACTTGTAATCCCAGCACTGAGGAGGCTGAAGCAGGAGGCTGGTTGAGAGTTCAAGACCAGCCTGGGCTGCAAAGTGAACTCAAGGCCAGCCTGAACTGCATAGTGAGATCCTGTCTCAAATAGACAAAAAGAAGAAAAAAATGAAGGAAGAGGAGGAGGAATAGGAGGAGAAGAAAAAGTAGAAGGAGAAGGAATCAGGTAAAACAGAAACAAATTCTTAAAGGCTATTCTTTAAAGGACAAGAAACTGTTCTGGGTTCAAGAGCTTGTATCAGTATTACTCGGGGGGGGGGGCTATTATGCTGAGCGGAGGCAGAAAACTCTCACCAGAGATGGCCCAGTTTTACTTTTGGAAGGTCCTGATGCCAAGGTGAAAACTGACTGCCTAACACCAATGCTGGCCAGTAACAATGGAAAAAGTTCCTCAGAAGAAACATTGGAAGATATAATAATATAATTTTATGTGATAAAATATTCTAATTATATTCAGTAAAATTCATTTTAGTATCCTTAAATTATGGCAAACAGTGATAGAAATGATAAAGTGCATGGACCTGAATTTTTCTCTGCTGAGTATCACTTTGGGATAGGAAAAAAGAAAGGCAAGTGTGACAGTAACAGGATCAAAGGCAAAGATAAAAAAAAATGCATGGTGTACTTGGAGAGCAGCTTGACAGCGTGAAGTAGAGCTGATAACAGAGATGGTCTTTCCTACATTCAGCTCTTCTTTGGCTACTTCATGGATATTAGAGAGCATACTTAGGGAAATCTATGCTAAATGTGTCACACAAGGAGGACTGGACAAGAAACTGGAGCTTGCTGGGATCTAAGCTGCAGAGGGTTACATGGGAGAGTGGAAGAAGCTGATCTTAAGCATCACCAGAAGGCGAGGCAGACGGTCATCAACATCTTGGGCAAAAAGAGGAAGGCAAAAGATTTAAAGATACCTTTAAAATTTCCAAACAACCTGGAATAAACGGTGTCACTGCAGAGGAAAAGGATTTATGAGACAAATAGCTAATGAATTCAGAGCTGGCATGTGCTGGCCTGAATATACTTGACAAGACCGCAGAATGTACAGGGGGAGATACTTGTAACAATTGCACATTCAGGTTTACAGTTCAGCTCAAATGTTAAAACTGGAGATTTCAATTTGAAATGGAATAACAGGGAATTTTTTTATTTCAACTTATTTTTTTAAAAAGATAGATCATATCAGAAAAATAAGTGCTAAATATTACAAGATATATCCCAATGAAAACTACTGAGGAACTTCTTAATGTCTGGATACATTTCAAAATTCAAGTTTGGTAATAATTATCATTTCTTCTTTCATCCTAATCTTGAATCAAAAAGCGTAATACAATAGTTTCAATCTACAGTGGTAAATGAATCTTCTAAGATTTAAGCAACCAACTACCTATTTTTTCTAAAAGATGTATTCTTCTTAACTGTCTTCCAGTTAAACATAAGCTAAATCTCTTTTGATATGCATTGGCAGAAATTTTTCAGAAATACATTTGACAATCTTCAGCTGAATTTTAATGAATGAACTGTCAAAACATTGTCTGGTATGTATATAAAGGATTAACGCACATCAAAAAGAAGTTAGATGTTGAGAAAGGAAACAGCCTATTAGAACTCTGGCAGTGTTAGACATTATAGCAAATTTAAAATTAAAAATTATATTTTTCAAAAGTATAATGTCAACATACAGTGACATCGTTTTGGGTCCAAACAAAAAAATGTTACAGGCAGAACCAGGAAAAGGCAGCTGTTAACTGAACTAAATAAAATATTCTCTAAGCACTATGATTTGCTTTATATATAAAGAGGTGACAAAACATGAAGAGATAAAATAATGAAGAGAAAGTCATATAAAATGGACAATTCTGACGGAAAATGAAAGAAGTGAAGCAGGAATTCTCTTTAGTCATAAAGACTACAATGTACCTACCTAGGCCTAGAGAACACTTTTCTGTAAATTTATGGCACTTTTGTGTAAATCAAGACATCTTTTAAACAGGGTGATAATTCAAGGTCTTCGGGACATTTTTGTCTAAGACAAATGCTAAATTAGACAGTTGCAGGGACAGATCAAATCAGGTATATTCCAAGCCAATTGAAACGGAGCTGCAGAAGCCTGATTATAAAAATGGCTTAATTTCTCATTCAACCGAAATTGCAGTTCTTTTGTTCAAGAAATGAACTTTAATCCCTACCCTTTGACTCTGGGCTAGCCCTGCAATTAATTTTGGGCTCTATACAGCCCAGGAGGGTGCGATTTTGTGTCTATTCTTTAACTAAGGCCTCAATGCATGTTGAGCACCTGTGCTCCCTCTCTTGGACTTCCATCACCCGTTATTAGACCAAGCCCAAGCTTGCCTGACTGGACCATCAACACCATAGCAGCTCAGGCCCCTGCTCCACCCAATACTCAGCTAACTAGAAGAAGCTGAATCATCTTGCCACCTTGGAGCTTACCACAGAAAAGCAGCCAACATCAAAACTGTCCAGCTAAGTTCAGTCAAATTTCTACTAAAACCATGAGTAACAAGCTGGTTGTTTTCAGCCATCAAATTTTTGATAGTTTGTGGCACAGTAATAACTGACAGAAAAGGCAGTAACTGTTGGAGTGACTCAACCTACCTGCACCGGAGATAAGAAATCCAACAGTCTTGACCAAAGCACTAGAAAATGTTAGGCATTTTGTTTCTACATCCAGGACTCGAGTATGCGTCATCTGAAATTAATAATTAGCTATCTTTATGCTTTCCCAGAAAATTAAAATCTATTCATCTGAAACCACGAATATCATTTTGCATTTGAGCAATATGCAACCCTAGCAGAGTAGGTTAGCATTATGTTCACTTTGTATCTGAGGAAATTAAGTGGAAGGGCAAGCTGACATTATTATCAAATGGCAAAGCTATGACTATACCTATAGTTTATTCCACTTTTAGCCTACAATCTTGGGTATATTTATATCCCTTAGTGTATTTTTCAGGTATTAAGTAAACAGATACAACAGTTTTCTTTCTTATAAAAGTAAGGATTACATGACTTAGCTCAAAGGCAGTTAAGGAGCAAATAAATAATGTATGTGAGGCGTGCAGCTCAGAAGTCTGCCCCGGGTATTAGGGGTCCGCTCCCAGTCACAATGCCAGGGGTCTCTCTCAGGCTTGCTAATGTCCAGTCTTAGATCACAGCATAGCACTTGAAATGATAAACTTTCACACAGATGGTATAGGCAAATTTATTTCTATGGTAGAAGCATTTATTATAGTGATACAAAAATAACACTATTTCAAAAGCAGGGTAAGTACGCAGAAGTGTATTTCTCTCCTGTATACCCATACTCAAATGTCAAAAAGATTTTAACCCATTTGTAATTTAACAAGAGACACAGTTAAGGTAGTATGTCAACAGGAGACGTATTAAAGCTACATATTAGCCCTGGAAATCAGAAAACACAAAGTGAACACGTGCAGCCATTTTCAACTTTAGTGTGCATCAGAATCACCTGGACTGTGGAAAAGGTTAAGCCTGTCCCTGGCCTCAAAACACCAAAGGGACTGAAGAGACAAACTTTGTTCCTCAGGGAATAGCAAAGACAAAATACGCCGCAATAGAAAAGATTAGCAATTTACTCACTGTGTGACTTCAAGTATCAGACTCAGAAACAGCTACTACACACATGACCACTACACAGATGAGGTCAAATACTGTGTGGTGTTTCCCCTATCTGTAACATACAGCTATTATCTTTGTTTCCATCTCATCATTATTTGATATAAAGTACATTCTCCCCTACTTCCCACTCCCAAATAGCTATCCTTTTATATTCTATAAGTCAACCAACCATTCACTGGGTGCAAGCTTATGGACTACTGGTACCATTTTTATACTGGTACCATTTTTACTACTTCGGCCATTCTCTTACATAAGATTTCAGTACACGATTGAAATAATTTTTGTATTCAAACTAAGACAACAGATTTGAAGAAAAAGAGAACTAAAGCTTCAAAGTTGTTGCTTCCAAAGCAACTATAGATGAAAGAACTGTTTTTCAAAGTATCTCACATTAAGTAATTTCAGATGTGCCCTGTATTATTTTCTATCAGGCCATTTTTAAATGGAAACATGGGAATAAAATACCTATAATTTTCATCATTTCCTACATTTAACATACTACACAGCAATATTTCATAGTTAAGTTTTTGGCCATTTAATTATCTACCCACTTAAGTATCTGAGGTCTTAATATCCTAAAACTATACAGTATAGTTATAGAGGTGCACTACACTAGCATGGGGTTTCTCAAACTTGACACTAATGACATTCTACGTTGGCTGATCCTTCCCTTTGAAGAGCGATGACTTGTGCATCTCAGGATGATTAGCATCTCTAGGCTCTAAATAATAGATGCTAAGAGCCATCTGCCTCCTCACTCAGTTTTGACAATCAAAAATGTCTCCAGACATTGTCAAATGTCTTCCCCGGGCCCAAATTACCCAAATTGAGAACCACTGGACTAGAATTTTATACAGACATAATTGTAAACTCTGGGTACACAGATAATACAAGACTATATAATATTACTAATGTGAAGAGTCTAGCACAATAATTCTGCTACTCTGTTTATAGTAGGGCACAGAGGTTTTATACAATATACAACTTAAGCATATGGCTACCCACAAGTAACTATCTCTATCTACTGAAAACAGACATCAGGAAAACAACACTGCAATCCAGAAACTACCTTTACACCACCCTGGTATGAGAAAAATCTAGTTTATATAAACATTTACTAGAAACCTAAAAAAACATCACTGCAAGTGTCCCTCTTTCTGAATACGAAGTCTCTCCTTTTCCACTTGTAAGCGTTCCTTCTCGATCTGTAGCTTCTCAGATTCGAACTTCAAAAACTGCAGTCTATCTTTCTCCAGCTGTAAGCGTTCCCGCTCAAGTTTTAGCTTCTCTGTTTCCATATCCTGTGGCTGAAGTAAGGACTTTTCTCCTTGCCCAAGTTCATTTTCCAAGGCCGGTTTCTCGGAACCGACTATCTGCAGCCTCAGCTTCTCCCTCTCAATCTGCAGCCGCTCCTTCTCCAGCTGGAGTCGCTCGTGCTCCAGGTCCAGGTGCCGCAGCCTCTCCTTCTCTATCTGCAGCCGCTCCTTTTCTACCTGCAGTCTCTCGGCCTCGATGTCCAGGCGGCGTTTCTCCAACTCTAGTTTCTGTTTCTCTATGTTTACCAGCAAATGGGGTTCGTCGTATGCAGATTTAGATGGTGTTGCGTTCAGTGTGAAAAACTCATCGATGTGGGGGAAATCGGGAAGCTCGGTTTCCCTCCTGGAATCCGGTATGACGGATGACAACATTTCTTCTTCTTCTTCAATCTCAAACTGAGAGAAAAGAGACAAGTGATTTCCAGTATTTACCTCTACCTCATTGGTAATTGTTACATTAGGACAGATATTTCTTAATATCATTGGAACACATAAAAGCATTTAACTTTGTGAAAGCAATGTACACTGAATTATCTGATACTACCAATAAACAAATTAGGGACAATTAACGTTTCCCACTTTAATAATGTAAAAAAGAACACAAACAGAATAATCTTATTAAGTGAGCTTGAAAATAAGAGAATCAATTATCTGAGGACTATAAACTCTCACGTTAGAATTGAAAATGAAAAAAAAAGTGACCCAGGCTAATACTTACTTCAGGACTCTGGGGATCCCTTTCTTCCTCTTCCACTTTGACCTCTGTTAAGGATCCACCTGCATCCCTGAAATCTGTCACATTTTGCCAGTCAAAATTTGCATCATTTCGGAATCCGATCTTTTCGTCTATCTCCTCAGTGAGGGAATCATCTAAGTCAGACGTGGGAAGGGGGAATCCTGAACCCACCAGCTTAAGGTTGGCCTTCATCCTCTTTCTCTTCATAAGTGCTCTCCAGTCTAGGTACCTTCTTTTCACTTCCGTCCCTGTCCTCTGTTCTCCTTCACCTACAGCGTTCACGCACTGCGCGATCTCCTCCCAGGCCATTCGCTTCATCACATTGATCGTGGTATTGAGCTGCTTGGAAAAAATGACTTCTTTCCTCTTGGTAATTTCTTTCAAAAGAGTCTGAGTTTCTTGAACACTAAAATTGCTTTTCCTTTTTCTTTTCAACTGCTTCATTTTTCAAAACTTAAATGCAATTTTTACCAGAGAAGATCTGAAAAGAACTTGAGGAGCACTGCACAGCACAAAAACCAAGGACAGTCCCCTGTTGGCACTTAGCTCAAATCATTGGGTTTCCCGTGTGTCTAGAAGTGGAGGCAAGCTGGGTAATTCCTAAGAGAGAAAGCAAAGCAAAATCAACCAGTCAACCTGCAACATCTGTAACATTCAGCCCAATAACCTATATAGCTTCACACACACACACACACACACACACACACACATTTTAAATAAGAATTGAGATCATCTACTTCTCTCTGCCATGATCATCATGGTCCATAAGCTACCACCTTCTCTCTTGTGAGATGATACAAAAGATTCTAACTAGTTGTACTCCTGACCAGCTCCTGTTGCTCCAGCTCCTCCCATGAATTTACCCGCTTTCCTCCACCAACATCAGCCTGCTTTCAGCCCCCTGCTCCTGTCAAAGTCCTTATCTGTTCAGGGCCTCTGTTCATAATCTTCCTTCTACCCACTGAATGGACGGTGCCCTTCTTGGCCTACTCTTGCCCACTTTGTGAAAAGTTTCATAAGGGTACAGGAAGGTTTCTGCTCCCATCATCTCCTTAGTGTGCAGCAGAGTTTCTGGCACGTGGCAGCACGTGACAAATACCTGCTGAATGACTGAGCTGATCTGCTAAAATGGCTATGGGCTTGAAATACCAAAGACAAAACTAAAGAGCTGAGCTGAACAAGCAGTAAAGCCCAAAAATGTAATGTTTTTTAAAAACTGACAATTAATTATACATTCATAAGTTAAAACTTATATTTAGGTCAAACTAACTTTAACTCTATAAAGTAAGAATAAATTTTTCTGAAACAATGCAACTATTTTTAGGATACAATAAAATTAAGTAGTAATATAAAAATGACAATGATTTCTCACAGTCACCCTGCCTAACTAATCAGTTAAAGAAAATTATAAATTAAAACAAAATAAAACAAAAAAAAAAGCAAAGTGCCAATTCCTCACCATTCTGGAGCTGTACACAGTTCTTGGTTTACCTGTCCCCACCCTCATGCCACTCCAAATAAAATCCCTTGACCTGAAACAAAGGTAAGTGCACTGGTGGTCTGTTCATTAATATGTTTCATTATTTGCTTTTCTTCGGAGGTTTTCTCAGTAGTACTTTATAACTTTCTGGGCTACTTTTACTTCACCGCTGAAGATGATAATATAGTCAAATAACTAGGTATACTGCACTTTTAGTCTTTGTAAAATAAATTTAGAAACATATATGTGGCAAATTTTTAGTATGAATTTCAAATCCTCTTGTAAGCATTTATTTTTAGACAGAAGACAGAATGTTTCTCCAATTTCCAGATGACACTGGCTCTTTGTTCATCAATCTGAAACTTACCAGGTACACCCCACTGCAGATTCACGGAATCTGCAACTGTAGAGGTGGCACACAGCAATTTGTGTTTCAATAAAATATCTAGGTGATTATAATACATGAAAAAGTTTAAGCATTTCTGCACAAGACCCCCCAGTAAAATGAATGTTTCACATGCTTACAGTCAAGTCTTACACAAGTACAGCAAGTGGTAGACTACTACATAAAACACATCTAAAATCCTCAAAGAGGGGAAGTGTTTTCTGCTATGTATGGAAAGGTGGAGGAGTCTGGGAGGTTAGAACAAATGCTGCATTCTGTGTCAAGAGCTCATTTTTCTCCTAGAAGCAGAAAAGGTCCCAATACCTTATATAGTACTATAGCAAACACTGCTTTATATATACTGGTTCAGGAGAAAAGTGGGATAAAGATTAGAAAATGTACTTGGGAAACAGATTTCAAAGGTATGTAATAGGAAGCTAGAGCTCAGAAAGAATACGGAATACATACACAGACCACGATCTCTGATTTCAAATTCCCTCAGTTATCACTGGTACAGACTATAGCCTACAAAATGAGAAGACGGGATGACACTACTAAAAGCCCTTTCCAGCTGTATCAGTATAAGACCACAAAGGTTTTCAGGCAACAGGAAAAAATATCAAATATTTGTAAAATTCTAGATCCACTAATTTAGTCCTCACCTGATCACTGTACTACAAATATCAGTATTTTTATTTATAAAACAAGCCTAAAAGGTTAATTTGTACATGGCTAAATAACAGGATTTATACCCAGGTTCCCTTATGTTATATATATCTTAGCTTTCTTAGCAGTGTGTGATAGCTAAATCAGAAATGTGTTGTTAAAGCAAGTTTTGAGATAACATTTGGCATATTTTTAAAAGGAGTAGATTTTGACCTATGTGGAAGAGTCAGATATAATTTTGTATATCAGTAGAAAACGTACTCAAATTTTTAACCTGTTACATTCCTCTTATCATGTGTTAAAGTAAAATAAAATGGAAACTAGGTCTGAAGAATCCCTAACAGTCACAGTCAGTCAGACCCTCTAAGTTACTTTTAACTTTGATTTGTAAATATAAACAAAATTACTTAGGCTATGTCATGTCAGTGCCATATATAAGAAAAATGAAACATAAGGCCAATCAATCAGAATCAGCCAAAAAATTTATGGTTATATAATGGGAACTTTTCAACAGGCTAGAACAAACAAGGCCTGGAACTATAACCCATGAAACATTTTCTTTTACTTCCACTTTCATCCTATAAAAGCCTTTTCCTTGCATTCCCTAAGCAGAATCTCTAATGAAATATTTCTGATTTAGAGCTGCCTAATTCATAAATCTATTCCCACAAACTCCTTGAAATTTTACCGTATCTCATTTTGCCTTTCAACATAGTATCTCTCAGTTTAAAATTTTTATTACTATGAAAATAGTTATTTGACCATTCACCATACAAAGAGTGTCTTCTAGGGTCCTAGAAAACAAGCCAGGGTAAATTCAACCGGAAAACACACAAGTTTCTTTCTATCACTGTTTGAGCTTTCTCTTACATAATTAAAAGTGGATGTTATTGCCTTATTTTGAAACTTTAATAACACAGCATGTTATCACCATTTCAGTAAACCTTTATTCTTTTGTTTTTTTAGTAATATTTATTCAACTGACTTGATATATGGCCTATAACATCACCAAAAGTATGCCCGTCACCACATCTGTTTGTTCCTAGCCACTCATATGGAATAACTATCTCCGGAGAGTCACTTACTTTTGAAACAGAGGTTACAGAGAATGAGAAATTCTAAATATCAGAAAATGAACTGTCAAAAAAAAAATCACTTCAATTTCACGAAAAGGACAAAGTATATAAAAACAAGGACTGCAACCTATTTTTAAACTAGTTTCAAAATATCTCCAAACATTTAATAAGTTGAAATCTACTAAATCAGAATGTGTAATCTGTGACAATAAGCTGGATATTAACATAAGGATTTGTGTTTTGTCAAAAGAATATAAGTAAAGGTATTTATAAATCAAAACATCATTAAAGGGCAGTGCATGTAGAGATTATGAGCAGATTCTGGACTTGGATTCCCCAGACAAGGAATTGAGATCTACTACTTACTAGTTATGTGGCCTTAATTACTTAACCTCCCTATAAAGAAGAAAGGATTTAGTAAAATATGGGAAATATTTCCTGGCATACACAAAGCAATGTTAAGTATCTGCTATCATTAAGGTCAAAATCTAAATAATTTTAATAAAGAGGAATAAAAAAGTCACAATAATACTGGTACTGTCCTATTTAACTGGTAGATCTATGGCTCTCCATAATGCTTTGTAATATGTATGTTACATTACAAAGCTTACTTAGGAGAGTTCACGAATGTCAGATACACATCTTTTCATTTCTACTTTCAGAGATGTCAAGTGGGAAGCTAAAAATGGTCCAAGATGGCAGTATTTACCCCGCAACTTTAAAATTATAGCATTGAAAAATGCTACAAGTTGGGATTGCTTTTGTTTGGATAGGGGCTGGTTTTCTAAAACACTACGGCAACTATTTTTATATATATCAAATTAGTATCAATTTGAAAAATTAAAGAAATGAAGTATTTTAACAACAGACCCCAAGCAAGTTAAGTAAACATTCCACAATACTTATAATTTTAGAGGAACATTTTGAATTAGCACTGTGGTCTAATGGTCCTTATGTAATTCAAGTTATCCAATACAGTAAACAAGTATTCAGCTTTTCTTCAGAGGTAACTAAAAATACTATGGCAGTGCCATGTTTATAATTAACAATAAAAACAACTGAAGCAACTGACTTCTGTATCATTGAACTGGCCCAATAGTCTCTTCTTACTACCCTGCGTTGCAAGATATTTGAAGGAACAAATGAAATAAAAACTTGACTTTCTTCCTTCTACCATTTGCCCTACCACTGAGGATCTCAGAGAATGCAGACTATCTGTTCCAAAGACAGTATCTTCAATACTTGGCATAGGCCGAACAAACAGGAAGAGGCAAAAATGTAAAAGTAAGAGGTGATCAGGGGGGGCAAAATGAAGCAGAAACCAAAATAACTGAAGATTAAACTAGGAAAACTGAGATTTCTATGGGCACACAAAGAATATAATTTTTATAAAAAGGCAGCAACCCAACTCAGTATGGGTAAGAACCAGTTTATGAGAATAAGCAAAGACATTAGAAACCCACATACTCTGTAACTATGCCACAGAATATAACAATTAATAGCTTAGACAAAATTCCCAACAACAACAACAAATACTTTTTCCAGTGCATAGGCTACATGGCTACTTAGTATCTATCAATGGTAAACAGATTATCAAAAACATTTTTAAAAACTGGATTATCAAAGACATTTTTAAAAAATAAGTTAGATATCTTGAAAGTAGGAAAACGTGGCGTAAAATTCCATATCAAATCAAATTCTTAATGTGATAGGATGACTTGTTTCCAAAAAATCTAGAATAGTTTTTGAAACAAAAAGCTACTATCATATTTTCAAGGTAAAAACATGGAAACACACAAATATCCATTAATAGAGAACTATGCAAAAAATAAACTACCATGCCGCATAACGGAATAGATGCAATACATGTTCCATTAGAGCATGCATATGTCTTAGCATATTAGCATCATTCCTATGCAAATGTTGATACTGAAACCAAATAAAATGAATTGTATGTGTACATTCACAAAGGTGCTATCTATCAGTGGTCAGAGAGAGTAGAGCAGGATACTGTCTGCAACAGAATCACCAACTTTGTATACTACAATCACTGGCTCTCAGGATCATGTGCACCAGGCATGTACCTATATATTAGCCTACAGCACACTCTACTCTCAAGTGATTAAAATGATCTATTTACGTGAACTTTTTATTATAGAAAATTACCTTTTTCAAGTCTCATAAATCCATTGCTCACAAATCTACTGTCATGCTAGAGGAACAATGTTGAATAAAATATTGTGGTCCACGTATGTGGTTTTAAACTTCTTAGTGATTTTTAATTTCCTAATAACTACAATGAAAGTAAAAATCTGAAAGTGCCATTTAAACAATAGTTTAATCTTATATAATCTTTATATTATCATTGTAATTTATAATTAATATAAAAGTTAAAGGGATATTCTCATTCTTGTTTCTTCCACTAAGTTTTAAAAACTGAGTATGTTACAGTTAACAGCACGTCTCATTTTGTATTAGCTGCATTTCACCAACTCAAGAGCACATGTACAAGTAGGTAAAATATTGAATATAAGTCACTAAGTTATCAAAATCACATAAGGAGTCTACAGTGCCAGCAACTAAGGAAACTGAAGGAAGAGGATTACTTGAGCCCAGGAGTTACGTGGTGGTTTGGGCAACATATTAAAACTCAGTTATACACACATAAAAAAGTCACCTAAGGATTTTTTTAAATACCTCTAGCCAAACCCTTCTCTGATAAACTAAAACAATCTTGCAATAGGGCTAGACATTAGGAATTTTAAAAACTCTCTCTGTGTCAGCGAACACTAAGAACCACCCTGCACAGAAAGGCAAGAAGGAGCACAAATGCTGTACATGCTAAAAGATTTCCTTTTGGAGACTGGTTATGGAAAGACCTCATCTGCCACAAAGTAAAAAAGCTAGTTTATTTTTGGGAAAGTACATAAAGCTATATAAAGTACAGAGAGCTATATAAAAGGCCAGAAGAATATCACCTGCAAGCAAATAACTTACAGCCTAGTTAAAACTGTAAAAAGATATCTTTAAAAAAAAATGCATGTGAAAAAGTAATGTGAGCATGTAAATTAAAAGTTGTGAACACAAACTACACAGGCTTATGTGCCAATTCTACCACTTCATAGTTCTCTGATCTCAAGCAAATAAAACTTCTATTCTTGTTTCCTATCTGTAAATGGGAATAACAATAGAATAACATTCATGACATCCTATGGATTAAAATACATAATCCAATTAAGTTTACAGAGACTAACACCTAGTAAATTCACAAAAAATTTCAGCTACTATGCATTAACTTTTAGTACGGTATCTGTGCGAGGCGAACGTGTTAACCACTGCACTACGGAAACCTTTAGTACAGTATCTGGATTTAGAAATATTTCTTTACTGGATTAACTGAGTGCTAACATTTGAAGAAAAGAAGCCCTAACAGAACACTCAAGGAAAACGAGAAAAATCTTTGATGGAATAAAAAGGTTTTGAGAACAAAATCAGCATTTTATTTGAAGAAATAGACCACTAAGGGAGGAAAAAAATAGGAGAAGTACCAGGAACTAAAGCTGGAAAATTAGATAACGTCAAATATCAGCAGATCTTTAATAACAAGACCTTTGCTAATACAAGGTCTTAAAATCAGTGCTAATGGTAAAAGCTCACTTATTTTAAAATTCAAGCCAGTCACCTTTCATTCAGAGGCACTGTTACTATAATAACATATATAAACTGTAATATATGATAAATATATATCTAAACTGTCACATGATAAATGTTTATAATGCAATAAATGGACATTTAAGAAAATCCTAAATTATGCAGATATTAACCATTAGATTGCAAATTTCAATTTGAAATCGATTTAGTAGTTGGATTATGAATTTTTTGATACATCACAGAAATAAAGGTGCTTTTTAACTTACTATGGAGTCGATATACTTTTTAATTTTTTAATATAATTTTTAAAATTTGGCACCAATTGTTGCTATTTACATGGTCTATTTTATTTATACTTCTAGCTTACAAAGTAATGTTCCGTTATCCCTGACTGATCCACGCTAAGTTGATGAACTATATTATTGACAAAACATACTTTAGATACTGGAACACATCTTAGATTTCCTATCAATTTTGACATAAGTGTGTGAAACTCTGTGCTTGAAACCTTAGTGTAAAGATGCTAACATTTATGCATGTTGAACTGTTAACATTTGGTAGTTATGTTTATACACATAAAAATTATGTTTTCAGGAATGTTAATCTTACTCTTGTGATCATCTCCTTCACATGTGTGTACTCGTGTAATGGACTTTCAGCCATCTATGTCCAACAATTTCTCCAAAATACATTTACTAAGTTCCTACAATGCGCAAGACACCAAGTGCTGGAGCTGGGGATTTAGCTCAGTGGCATAAGCACCTGCCTTGCAAGCAGGCGGTCGTGAGTTCGATCCCTGGTACCGATAAAAATGAAAAAGACAAAAAAAAGACACCAAGTGCTGCAATTATAAAAATACTCCATGAAATGTATAAAGATGCCAACGACTTTTTTTGGTTGGTTGCCATCCCTGACTTTGCAGTAGGAATTTCAATAGTCCCAACGGTCTGTACATCTAAACCTTACAGAACTCCAACGTCCAATCCCAGACACAAGTCACTTCCCTAAATTCTCACCTTACAATCATTCTTTACTGGTTGAAAATGGGAATAATATGCAGTTCACTTACATAATCCTTGTGAAGATGATGTACCATTAATTGCATATCATAAACGGGCCATTATTTACCAGGACAAGTTGAGAAATAAGTCCCTAGATACTGTATTAAGAGGTATAAAAAAACAGTGAAGTCTAAGTTAAAAAAGAATGAGAGATAGAGTGATCAATTCATTAAGCAGTTGGAGAAGAAAAGCATTACAAACAGACAAACTTTCCTTAATCCTCCCACCACCCCATTCCACTGGAAAGAGCGGTTCTTCTCTCCTCTATATTCTTAAGGGAGAGTCACTTCCTTGCCCAACAGGATGCTGTTCTCTAAACTTGTGCCAGGTAAACAACTGAAGTTTAGGGTCGCTGGTTATCAAAACACAATCACCCTGCCCGCCGCCTCTGCCTCTCCCAGGCCTTTGCCTCTCCCAGGCCGCCGGGCACAGGGGACGCTCGCGGGCTCCGCCGGACGATGCGGCTGCACCTGTGCGAGTCGAGGCAACTTGGAAAGACGCTCGCTCCATCTATTAAACGAGAGTCCCAACTGTGTGCCCAGAAACTTCGGCAGCTCTGTTTCAGTGGCCTGGGCCTTCTCGCCCTCCCTGGCCAGGCTACAGCCCAGTGCGGTCCTTCTCCCGAGCGCTGTAGCCCCGCTACGCGTTGCAAAACCAGGATCCTAGCCCGCAGTGGCGAGGTAACCACTTGCCGCTGACCCCTCCGGGCCCACACGTCCCAGCCCACCTAGCGAGGGCACCCCATTTCCGCGGGGATAGTTTCCCTCGCCACCTTTTCCAGCACAGCAAGGCTCACCTGCGACCTGGTTGCACCTCCGCTGGATCGCCCCTCAGGGTAGAAAAGAGATGCTTCATTGACTCCCCGCCCACCAACTTCTCCGTCCCTCCATTGGCTAGCGTGGCTGCCTTTTATTTGGCATAGCTCATCCATTGGGCCGAATAATATTGCTATTCTGCATGAGATCCCGCCCCAGGCCAGGGCCTCACAATGGGAATCGAGTCCCAAACGGTTCCGGGTTAGTACCCTGGATCCCGCCCCCTTGTGATTCGCCTCCCCGCTCTGCACTCCGTCTTTGGCGAGCAGCTCCGTCAATCAAGTGGGCTCTACAAGAGGATTGGTCCCTAGAGACAGGCTAGCTGCGCTATTCCGCTTGATTGGGACACAGCCGCTCCTTCTCTAACTCAGCTCTGCTCTTTGATCCTCGGCCTATTATTAAAACGTCAAAAAAGAATTGAGAGTCTTTTGTGCTCCAGCTGGGTTCCAAAGTCTTCATTTTCCTTTACGCAAACAACTGCGATGTCTTTTGGCCAGAACCATTCCACTGAAACTGCCTTTGCCAAGGCTCAATGGTTACTTACGTTTGGTCAAATCTAGGAGTCACTTCTTATCCTTGACTTATCAAAGAGACCGTTTAATTTTTTTCAATCGTTCGGTTTTCCTCCTATTGTGCGGATCTTGTGATTCTCCTCCATTTCCATCTTCTTCTGTCCATCTTTGCAGTTACCTCATTCTCTGCCATCGCAAATGGAGGTGTTAATACAGCGCTTTTCGTCCCACTGCCTGTGTTTTCTCTCCTGAATTATGTCAGCAATCTGATTTCCCTGGATCCTGTCTGCCTTACTGTAATCTGTTCTTCAAACTGTAATCAAGCTAAAGTTTTCTGGTGCAATTTCTCTGATTTTACCATGAAGTGTAGTCTTACAAGGTTTACAAAGTCCTAAAACACAAAGCACATGCTTTTCCTTGAAGCATCATCTCCCAATATTCCTTTTTTCTTCCTTACCCTAATTGCTTTGCTTCTTTCAGTTCCTAGACTCAGGAATGTCTTTGGGACTCTACTGGCTTTGCTGTGTTTCCATCCAGAAAGGATTTTTTTTTTTTTTTTTTTTTTTTTCCCCTGCAGCCACTTCTCTGCCATGGCCAGGATTCATTTGAGAGATTATTTTCTGAAGGAAGCTTTCCTTTCTTCATGTTATCTTAACCCTACTCCCAAATAGTCATACTGTGTAGATTTGCCAGATAAAACAGGATGCTCAAACTGGGCGCTGTCAAGCAGGTCTGTAATCCCAGCTTTCTGTGGGAGTATACCTGAAGATTTGAGGCTAACTAGTGTATCCCAAGGCAGCCCTACTCTCAGGTGAACATCCATGGGTCGTAGCCTACAACCAAAACTTTCTCCTTATGTCTAACATGATGCATAGAGTTATAGACTATAATAGTAGAAAGACTTGTAAATAAAGGTGAAATATTCTGGATAAATGATGAGTCCTTTCTGTACATTCCTAGAACTTCCCAGCAGAAAATAGGAAGTGCTTACAAAGTAGGCTCTTTGATATTTTAGTAGCTGAAGTGACTATAGTAGGCTCTTTGAAATGTAATGACATTTAATTTTACAGATTTTTCTTATGGCAATGCCAAAATGCAGTATGTCTGTATTTTTGCCTAAGTAAAACAAAACAAGCTTTCATTGTTTTGGGAACAATATAGGAACTTGTATTTTATAATATGGGGTGTTTGTGCTGATTTTTAGGTAAGTGTATGACAAAGGAAAATAAAAATCCATTCCCACTGTAACCAAACACCTTATCTCCTTTCAGCGTCTGTCCATCACTTAAATCTGTTTAATAACTCAGTAACAGAGATAATCTAGAAAGTGTAAATATTAGGAAGCTTATTTTAATATCATTAACTTTGTGCTTTCCCCAGTTCACATCAGCATTTGCAGATTGTAGGAGATTTTCCGAGTACTATCACTATTTCTTCCCAGCTAGCCCTTGTCTGAGTGGATGTGGACCAAAAGGGAGAAAATGGCGATAATCCATAACAGTCAATGTTAGTGCCCCTTACTAACATCATACTCTGCTTACTGATGTGATTTGTGTAAGTACTAATTCAGGCCAGAGGTTTCACCCACAGTTATTTACATAATTATTCAAAACTTGTACTATCAAAATGTGATTGCCAAATGAGTTTTGAATTGTGGCTAGTATAACTGAATAATTTAATTTTAATTGTATTTAATTTTTTTGAAACAGGATTTCCCTCTGCAGTTTAGGGTGACCTTGAACTCACTTTATAACTCAAGTTGGCTTCAAATTTGTAGCAGTCCTCCTGCCTCAGCCTCCAGACTGCTAGGATTATAGATGTGCACCACCACCCCTGGCCAATTGTATTTAATTTTAACTCCCAAACTGGTATTTGTTTCAGTTACTAGACAGCTCTCAAGTATGTTTGGAAAATTTGGGCTACATGAATTTACTTTTTAATTACAATGGTTTTGAAATCTGAACACCAACTATTTTTGATAAAGAACAAGATAGTGCCTAAATTGATATGTTGTATATGTAAAATGTACACAAATTTTAAAATTTAGTATGAAAAAGTTTAAAAATATCTTTGATAATTTTTATGTTGATTATAAGTGGAAGCATAATATTTGCATAGTTAAGGAAAATATATTTTTAAAATTAACTTTATCCATTCTTTTAATTTTCTCAAATTTATTGAGGTTTAATTTATATAAAAATTTTATTGTCTCAAGATATACACTGTGATGATTTTATATACTATATATAAAATGATTACCACTGTCAAATTAATTGATAGATCTATCATTCTTGCTCTTTGTGTGTGGTAGGGGGACAAAAGATATACTAAACAAATTAAATGTAAACAATACAATATTACTAACTGTAGCCTCCATGCTTTATGTTAGATTCCCCAGAGCTTGTTTGTTTACAAATGAAAGTTTGTACCCTTGGACCAACATTTCCTCATTTCTCTCATCTTCCTTCTAGCCAATGTGCCACACACGCTTTCCATGAGCTTAAGATTTTTTATATTCTACACATAAGAGATTGTATAATAATTGTATTTTTGCCTAGTTTATTTTACTTAGTAGACTGTCCTCCAGATTTAGCTATGATTTTGCAAATGGAAGAAATTCTGTCCTTTTTCTTTAAGACAGGAAATCAAACTCAAGGTTGCTGTATCACTGTGACACATCCCTAGTTCTTATTATTTTTATTTTGAGACAGGATTTTGCTGAATTCTCTAGGCTGGCCTGAATCATGAGATTCTCCTCCCTCAGTCTCCCAGAGTACTGGGATTGCAGGCATGCCAACCACTCCTAACAATTTCTTTCATCTTTAATACATAAACCAGAGAATTTTATCCACGGATGAACACAGGGTTTTTCTTCGTATCTTGGCTATTGTCCATAATTCTTCAGTGAACATGGGAATGCAGGCATCTTCTTGAGATATTGATTTCATTTCTTTTAGATATATGCCAAGAAGTAGGATTGCTGGATTGAATGATACATCTAATTTATTTTATTTCCCATAGCTGCTGTATCAACTCATATTTTCCTTACTAACTAGGTATTTTTTTCTCCACATCCTTACCAACATTTATTTCTTTACTTAAATTTTAGATAATAACCATCCTAACAAATATAAAGTGACTATCTCATTGTGATTTTAATTTACATTTGCCTAATGATTAGCTCTGTGGGCATCTTCTCATATAATTATGGACCATTTGTATGTATCCTTCTGATGAATATTAATTTTAAAATCTTTTTTGCAGTTAAGTTGTATGAATTTCTTATACTTTTGGATATTGATCCCTTATCAGATGTATAGCTTGTAATTTTTTTGTATTGTGCAGAATACCTTTTCTTTTTATTGTTTTTCTGCTGTGCAGAAGTTTTCTGGTCCAATGCATTTCCATTTATTATTGCTTCTATTTCCCGTGCTTTAAGTTTCTTTTCCAAAAAATCTTCGCCAAAAGTAGTATCAAGGAGTTTTTTACTTGAGTTTTTATCCAAAAGCTTTATACTTTCAGGTCTAACATTTAAGTATTTAATCCTTTTAAGTTAATTTTTGTACATGATAAATGATAAGGGCTTGATTTCATTCTTTAACTTACCTAAACACTAGTTATTGAAGTCCTTCTTTCCTCCATTATCAAGGATTAAATTTATTCAATGAATGAATTTATTTCTGTGATTTCTATTCAATTCTACTGATCTATGTGTTTTTATACCAAGTGCCATACAAATCTTGAGAAGTTGAGTGAATCCTAAAATTCCAATCAGCATAAACTGTGGTAAGCTTGCCAATTTTGTTTCTAATGAAAGGTTGGCTGAATTTTGGTCTTTTCTAGAACGCCTATGAAATAAGACGAGTCAGTTAATGATCATAAAAATCATTAATAATCCTTTTTTTAAAATTGTGTTGTTGCGCTGGGGATTTAGCTCAGCAGGATAAGCACCTGCCTTGCAAGCACACAGTCATGAGTTTGATCCCCAGGACTAAAAAAAAAAGTGTGTTCTTTATTCCAGCACATGAAATTGGTCATAAAAGAGGATTCATTTTCAAATCTATGCTTGCAGTTTGGAATATGTGCTCTAATAATCTTTGACTCAAAGCTCATTTTCAATAATCACCTCTGGTGTATATATACATCTTCGGATAATGTATCTCTTAACAATCAAGGACGGCTCTGATTGAACAAACATTTCTGTAGCTCCTTCAATAACCATTTATTTCTTTGAGTTGACAGAAAATTACTTTTCTTATGCAAAAAAGTCCTATATTTTGAATAGTGAAAACTGACCTGGCTGGTTTTATATAGCAAAACAGATGCATAAATTTCATTTTAGTAGTAAAAATTAATTGTGCTGTTTTCTCAGCTTAAGGTATTGCTGTGAAGTTTTATAACTTCTTTATTGTATTTATGTTTGAGTATTTTTCACTTTCATAAGAATCTAAGAGAGTTTTGGAGTTGGGAGCTTTTTATTCACTAGTCAGTTCTCTCCAACTCATTTAACAAGGAATTACTGAATACTATTTTCTGAAAAACTAATCTAAGGGCTACATACAAATTAATTTATTTGTGTGCACTTAAACATCAGACTGTACTAGCCTAAAGATTGATGCTCTT